GTTATCCCATTATTGCATACATCCCTGTCCTTGCCCTGTTATCCCATTATTGCATACATCCCCGTCCTTGCCCTGTTATCCCATTATTGCATACATCTCTGTCCTTGCCCTGTTATTCCATTATTGCATACATCTCTGTCTTTGCCCTGTTATCCCATTATTGCGTACATCTCTGTCCTTGCCCTGTTATCCCATTATTGCGTATATCTCTGTCATTGCCCTGTTATCCCATTATTGCATACATCTCTGTCCTTGCCCTGTTATCCCATTATTGCGTACATCTCTGTCTTTGCCCTGTTATCCCATTATTGCATACATCTCTGTCCTTGCCCTGTTATCCCATTATTGCATACATCTCTGTCCTTGCCCTGTTATCCCATTATTGCATACATCTCTGTCCTTGCCCTGTTATCCCATTATTGCATACATCTATGTCTTTGCCCTGTTATCCCATTATTGCATACATCCCCATCCTTGCCCTGTTATCCCATTATTGCATACGTCCCCGTCCTTGCCCTGTTATCCCATTATTGCGTACATCCCCATCCTTGCTCTGTTATTCCACTATTCCATTGCATACCCTTTTCCTTATATTATATATTCAACTCATAAAAAAAGTCAAAATGTATTTGCAGCAAAAAATTAATTCCAGCTAAAATAAAATATTTTATAGTGTCAGATGTTTAGTGTAGCAAGGCATCCCAAAACAGCACACATTCTGATAGAGTCACTGCAGTGATGCCAACACGTGGTATCAGATGGCAAAAACAAACAGAAAGTCTCCCCATGTAGCTCTTCAAGTCTTCCCACGAGAAAGCTCAACACACCCAGTGTACACAACTCTGGATTACTTTAAAAGTTTAAACCATGATTCCAGAAAACTTGCCCTAGGGTTATCAAGTGGTATTGGTTATCATGACCTTTGAACTTTGACTGCTTAATTAACCCTTTGCATGTCATAATTTTGCCCACCATTTTTTGGTGCAAACCGTTTGTGCATTTTGATGCATTTTTCTTTAATTTATTTTTAAAATATAGTTAAAAGAGACTAAATTTTTGTTATAGCTTACATGTACTGATCATTTTTGTTCAGTACTTTCGACAACTGAAGTTTATGCAGATTTTATTTTCTTAAAGGTGACTAAAGTTGACATTTACGTTCAAAGTGTTAACGTGTGTAGTAATTCTATATTCTTACTAGCTTTCTGATAGCACATCACTTTATACAAAATCATTGTTTTTTATTAAGAATAGTGTTGGTTAATTCTCCAAGATGGTATGGAGTTCAGCATTATAAACTTAGGGGGGCAATTATTATCATGAAAAAAAATTTGAAAATGAAACAAACCTGGTGCCTGAAAAAATTTGACAAATGTTATCAAATGGTTTTTACGGTATACTGTAAAATACTTTATTTTAGCTGGAATTAATTTCTGCTGAAAAGGCTTTTTGGGTGTTTTGTATGGAATCTGTTGAATGTAAAATATGGGGAAAAAGGTATATTCAATGGATTTTATTTTCTTTGAATCATTCCTTTAACGAAAATAGTGAAAATTAATTCCAAACGAAAATGAAGCATTTTACTGTACTATCTTCACAATACAGAAGTCATTGTACAGTGTTTGATTTAGAAATGTGGGACAGATAAAACACCCAGTAGATGTTTATTATTGTTAGTGTGTGATCATGATTTACAATTATCGTATTTCAAGCAGAGACACTAATGAAATGACAGACATCCTGGTGTATAATTGGATATCAGGTAACACTAGTAAAACAAGACACTGTTTTATCTCTACATCACAGTACATTATAACAGCTCTGTTCTAATTGTGATAAATTGAGTGTTGAAACTGTTACCATGACCACCTATCAAGATAGGTGGTATATTTGTAGGTTTCACACCACCATTGTAAAATAGTCTCAGTTGAGAGTAAAGTATAATGTAGTACTTCTTAATACTTCTTTTTTTTTTGTGTCTGCAAAATATGTGAATGTGTTTCTGGAGTCATTGAGACAGGGAGTTGCAGTAACTTTTGCAATCCTTTTGACTCGTGAAACTGCGTTTGTCAGTGGCAAGGTTAACTGCAACAGTTTTTGACTCCTGTGTGCAAAGCAGAGTCTGCAATTAGTCTGTCTGTCTGTATGTGTGTTGGTGGTGTCAATGTTGTAACAACTTTCATTTAACTTTACAACTACGAAGTGACGACCCTCATTATTTTCATAATTTACATTCATATTTAATTTACCCGGTAATAGCAGCACATGTGCTAACTTCATGGCTCCAATACCTTTAGCACACAGGAGTTCTTTCTAAGCTTTCTTTGATTCTGAATGAAAGCATTGAATCATTTAGATAACAAGAACCAACTTTGTGATTATAGTAAGCCCTCCTCCACTAAAGTACTTGGGTATGTGACATGTTAAGGTAACCAATAAGTAGTATGGTATTAATTACACAAACAATTATGTTCTAAACTCAGGGAAACTTGATCATGTTCAATGTCGCAGCCAAAGACTTCAGCTATGTCTTGGAATAATTGAAATTGTGAAGGGTACATCAAAGATTCTGTCTGTGATTCAATGTCTTTTGGAACCCCAGTTGAATTTTCACTGTGGCTCCTTTCGTTGGGATCAAAGAGAAATTTTTACTGTGACTCTGTGTTTTGGGGATTTTCAGTGCTACAAAATTATGCAATTTTCATTGAACTTGAAACAGAATAAATACATGGTAACAAGTTCTGTTAACAGAATTTCCATGGTATTAAACAAGTTCTGTGCTCATATCCCAAACAATTTGACTCAGAGTAAGTGGTGCACACATTTTGTTAAGAAACGTTCTTGTTACATGGCATGGATGATGATTTTGAAAATTATTTTGTGTGTGTGTGTCAAAAACTATTATTCGACAATTGTATATGGCTGTGTACTGTTTTAACAGTATGAGTAAACATAATTTTGTTTCACTTGTGCCCTCTAGTGGTGAACTTCAATAAAGATTTGTACTTGTTTTTTTCTCTTTACTTGCTTTTTTCAAAAGAGCTGAGAATAGAAATAGAGACCAGACTTATGTTAACATCAGTGATATACTGTGTGGATGGGGTCTTAAAAGGCAGCTGATAGCATTGGAATTCATAAACAATTTTAGTTGATTATCAATTGATCCTTCTGCTGTCCACAATGTATGTGTTTAAATTTATATTGCCCAGACATTATCAAATGGAACCAGGAAGGTTCTTAGTTTGATTTCTCGAGCCGACTTCTCACTTAGCAGTATACATCAAGAAATCCTGGGAACAGAGATACGCCATGTATCATGTATTTCTATGGCCTTTTCACAAGCTGCTGTGAAATGGTGGTCGAAAAATCGGTGAAAACTTGTTACACTGTTTAGTATCCCAAAGTACAGTTTTCTGTGAGTTTTCGGCTTTTGTTTTCACCATGATGATTGCCAGGCGGTAGAAATACCCGGATGTACACCCAGAGGAAATGTATTCTGGCCTGCCTTCCAAACATGCAGCATTAAGTTTGGAAAATTTGTTTACACATGCACTAAGAAACCATAAAAATGTCAGGAGAGATCAGCAGTGACTTTTATTGTTTGGCACACAAAAATTAAAAAAATTGTTACTCCATGTTTATTTGTTTATTATTAGCGAGGTAATTTAACTTTTTTTACTGATAGCAAAATGTCCTATATTAAATCACAGTTTCCAATATTATTAGCTAGGTTTTAATTTCACTTTTTTTTTCCTGATAGCAAAATGTCCTGTTTTCAAAACCAGGTTGTAAATAATATCACCACTGTGTATACTTGTATAAATATCCTAATATTGGAGCTGAAAAAATATGTGCCAACTATAGTTTCAAAAACTGTATCTCGTTACTGTATCAAGTCTTGATTAGGCTAGTATTATATGTAATAAAATACTTTTGAAAGACAATAATTGGAAAATTATGAGTATCTACACTTTCTAAAAAAACTTGTTGGCTACTATTTCTTGATATACTATAAAAGAAGATTCACTGTTTTGTTATTCATTGTATTATTATTACCGGTATTCAAATTCCCTTCACTCTTTACCTGCTGTACCTGTACTGATAATGGACTATTCCACTGGGTCACTCCTTTCCATTCAAGTCTATAGGAGTTGTAATTGGCTTCCCTGATTTGCATATGAATGCTTGCCTTTACCTAATTCCCTGCTTAGGGCAGGACAGTGTAAACAGGTATAATAATTGCCTATTGAAAGTCAGAGAAGCCTGCTGAGTTCCAAAACAGTTTGACTTTGACTAACTTAGCTGAAACATTGCAGCACTTAATTTCCTGGCTAGGTAAGTGTGTCTATATGTGCACCTCATTGCTGTCTTGAAGAGTCTGCTTTCCACTAGGTTTCACTTCTTCTGTTCCCCTGACAGTTTACATTTTACTTTAAAACATTCATATAGCCATGCAGTGACACTTAGGCTTTAGACTCAAATTGTCAGTGCCTCCTTGCCTCCAAATCGTAATTAGAAATCTGCATTCCACAAGTTGGGTCTCAGTCTTTGATATTACATCATACCTAGAGATTATTTTTTACTTCCTTCATTCTCAGCAGTGAAAATACTGTGCCTAACTAGCTCGTTTAGCCAAGTTTGCTGATGTACCTACTCGACTTACGGTACTTTTGTCCGGTCTAAAAACTTATTCATCCTGGTTTTAATTTCCAGGATGTTTATGTGAAGAAGCTTTTAGTGTAGAGGCTTTTACTAAAAGTTGCTTGACACGACAGTACATGCAACTGGCCTATCATTTCCCACACTGGTTTGCAGCTTACCCTCACTCTTGGCATGCACACAAAAACTGTTAATTCGTTTTCCTCAGTAGTGTGAATGGCATTGTGGCATTGCTTGGTTAGATATTGGGGTCAGTGATTTGACAAGTAGTTGTCTTGTTTTCATCAGGACATGCAAAAACTAGTGGGCTTCACAAGGGACTGCTTGTCTACAATGTAACAAATGAATAATTTATGAGGGGGAGTGAAGCCGATGTAGAATAGAAATTCACGGCCAATTTGAACTCAATTAAATGACAATTGCTTCAGAGACTATGAGACAAAGTTTGATTCAATGGAAAATATTTTAAGAATTGAGTATATTTTATTTCTCTGGAAAATGATTTGTTTTTAGTGCATCTTAGTATTTGTATTGATTTCCATGGTGACAGTTTTCAATCATTTCTTGGAACGTTCCATTGCATGGGATATTCTTGATATTGATATGAATCATGAAGTTGTTAAAAATTGAAATCAACATTCAATTTAAAATAATGAAATAATGTTTTTCTATTACTGTAAAATATTTTATTTTAGCTGGAATAAATTTTTGCTAAAAAGACTTTTTGGGTGTTTTGTATGGAATTTATTTCCACGGATCTTTGACAATTTGAATGTAAAATACAGAAAAAAATGTATATTCACGGGATTTTATTTTCACTGAATCATTTCTCCAGCAAAAGTAGCAAAAAATAATTTCAAGCAAAAATAACGTATTTTCTATTATATAATTCATTGTAATTTTCTCTCACATGCAAAAAAATACCAGTCTGAAAAAAAAACTTTTGAATTTGAACTTCACACATATATTGGATTATTACAGTTATTAATAATGCTGCTACAGCTTTAGAGTGACGCTGAATTTACCTGTCTTTGGTGATGTGTGAATGTCACTTTTAAGAAAATTCCATAGATCACTGCTACGTTTTAAATCTGGTCGGAGGTACAAGTGATCAGTCACCGCTACCATTTCACTCTGTTCAGAGGTACACAGAATAATTGTTCATTTCCAAAATGTAAAAAGGATGGAGTGTGAGTTGTTTGTAATATGGAGTCAACTTGTGTATCGGTTTATAAACTTAGTACTTAAAATTTGCAGTGGCCATGATGCAATTACCCCAATGCCCTACCTGACTGCCTCAGCGATCTTAACTTTTTACTATGCAGTTTAAACGAGAAACATTTTCATAATTTTTTGTTTCAAAAATGAGTGTCCTTGTAATTCTGCAGTTCAAGCACTGTAAACTTTCACAGGATTCTGTAAATGACAGGAAATATGTGAAGGTGTGGTAGGACAGGTATGATGTGCTGATTTGCAGCTGTACTAGAAATACCAACATCATTTTTTACTACTGGTATTCACATTAGTAGTTTATTCACATTATCTGTGTGCCAAGACATATAGTGTACAGCTTACAAAGATGTCTTTACTGAGGTCATGTCATAACATTGTTGCCGGCACCTCACAGAGCTCTTAATAACGTTTAAACTGACCTGTCATCGTCTTTAAGTTCATTCCAATTCATGGTTATGATTGGTTCACTGTTTACAGCTATTGTTCAACTATCTGTCTGCAAAAAAGTACCTGGAGAGTTAATAAAGTTAATTTATTAATAGAACATTAGCATATAGTACACTATTCAAGGACGCTCTTTCTAGTGATGTGTCAATCAGACAAGATCACATTCTTTTTTAAAAATATCAGTAACTATCCTGCCAGCGTTCTACAAACTCGTCAGTGATATATTTGCTTAACACTCAATTTTTTTTAGAGCTGTGATGATCGCTTAACCATGGCTGATTAACTTGTTTTGTTTTATTTTGGTATGTCAATTTACCTTTTTTTTTTTTTACAAAGAAATGTCTGTATATCATAATTTCTGTCCATTTTGCTTGTATTTTTTCACCATGCAGCAGTCCTCAAAACAAACACACTGATTTAGATAACAATATTTGCTCTCGTCCAATCACAATAATGTATTCACAGCACTGATCAAAATGTGCATTGTTTTTTTTTTTATAAAGCACCAAGTTTAAAAGCCCTGAACAATTTTGAGTCACATGTGATAAATGATTAACAAAAATTAACTTTATTAATCTGCTGGTCCCTTAAAACACTTGTTATTGGGAATCATTGGTGTTATCAAAATAAGAGTAGCCTCAGTGTATGTATTGATTGGTAGTTATGAGTGAAATATGGTAACTTTCTGAATGGAGGAGAAAAAATATTTATGAAGCCAGAGAAAGACTGGGAAAATGAAAGTGACATTATACAGAGGGAAGTTCGTTTGATTTAAAGGAAGATTGTTGTTTGAGTTTCAGTGATGATAAACTTTTTTCTCATTGTTCTCATAATTATATTTAATTGTATTGATAAAAAAGAGAATTGTATGTTATTCCAAAGCATGTTTGAATATCAAATTTTCTAAATATAAACAAATGAAGTTCTGTAAAATACGCAATTTTTGTTGCTGAAGGAATGATTCAGGGAAAATAATATACCCTTTTTCCTATATTTTACATTCAACTCATCAAAAATCAGTGAAAATAAATTCCATAAAAAAGCCCTTTCAGCGAAAATTAATTCCACCTAAAATAAAGTATTTTACAGTATTTGTTACATACAAGAAAAATGTTGTATATGTGCAACCAAAACGGTGCCTGTTTTTCCTCCCTACCCACAAATGTAATGCTAGACACTTAAATCACTCTAAACATATTAAAAATGATGTATCTTGAGCAATAACTGTAACGATTGGTTTTCTATGTGTTGTATTTGCTCTATTAGAAGCATGCATAAAATTTAGGCATGTATGTTACATGCTGGATCATTAAAATGTAACTTATTTGACTAAATTAATCAGGTTATTCTGGATTACAAAACATGAAGGAAAAGTAATATTTTACAGGCACACTACTACTTAGTACATTCTAACTTAGCCTTATTGTTGATGGAAGTTGTGAAATAATATTTAATATGGTATAAAACATTTACTGTATTAATCTATTATTTCACTTTTATTTGGGTTACCGTAAAATTCCTTTTTGAGGCCGCATCTTTAATAGAAGCCGCACCCCTAACTTGAGACATTGTTTCATGTTGAAATTGACATGTTTTGATCCCAGGGAAAAGTCTGCAATATAAGCCGCACCCCAAACTTTCACAAACCAAACAGCCACCACATATTTCAGAAAAAAATATACCATTTAATTTTAAATTAAGGCATAATTTTTCGAACATTTCAATGATTCCTGTCGCTTAAATTAGAGTCTAATTAAGGTTTTCCGTAATCATTTACGCTTATTCCAGAGTACAGGTTTATTGTGGGTAACGTGACTGGGTAAACTGCGTTTCCACAGTGAGCTGTTATTATCTTCAAAAGTGTAAATCT